TCGAACCTTCATGTATCCGTTCTATAGTTTTTACCGCCTGTGCTGTACAAAGACTGCCAGCTTAAGTGAATAAAGAGTTTGATGCTGCTGCTTGTCTAAAGTTCAACACTGTGGTTATACTGGCGAACTCCGGTGCACAACACCACGTGTCTGCGGCATCGGGAACGCGACACTAGGGCTACGTTTAGTTAACTCATTTTCTCACAAAGTGATGGGTAAAAAAAATTATCATCTTCTTGAATCAGAGTCTATTGCGGGGGATAGCATCCAGAAACTTCCAATCGATTAAGCAAAGAAATATTTCACCTTCATTTTTGACTAGAGGAGGAATATGCATCATTAAAAAAGTATGACGTACCTAGAAGATCTTTTTTTTTTTGACATACGGAAAACAACTAATTCTTACCTTGTGAGTTTAGTTGTTTTCAGTTCGCCTTTTTATCCAAATAAACATTCAAGGGAGGGTCAAACAGTGTTTCCCTATATAAAATGATTATGTTATTCGTTGACAAAGGAACATAACTCATCGTTACGAATTTTGAAGCTAAAAAGTTTTTAACAACTAGATCGTTATTGTGGTTTATCTGTCTCTATTAATTTTTTAGTTGTTTATGCATAGTACGTGGCTGGCCTGATATGTTTAGTGTCCATCCTTTTCAAGAGACTCGTCAAAGACCTAAAATTTGGATAGGTTCTTAGTCAGACCTTGCATTTTGATTCCCGGCCGCCAGCGTCAAAAACATGGGGGGCAGTCTAGCCTTATCCTCACCTAAAATGTTTCCCTTGTTGCTGACTCAGCACAGCAGTTTCTGTCATCAAATGAATAACCTCGCTCAACGATATCAAAACTACTTTGAAAAGTGATAGGGATCCTGAGACATTTACACCACCATCTTCTTAAAATCAGACTGAGCGTGTTCTTGCTTCTAGAAAACTGGCCGCCGAGATGAGATGCGGCTGAGATGATTTGAAAAAATCTATCGCATCGGTCGAACCATTCACCGAACCTTAACATTCTTGATCATCGATAAGGACTTTTTTTTTTTTTTTTGACAAACACATCTTCTATCAACAAGTGAAGATATAAATTATATACGAGACCCTACTGGCCATATGAGATCCTCCATCAGAATCAAAGAACAAGGTTACATTATGTCTTTGCCTCGATATATATCGTATTTTTAGTCAAAGGTGCTGTCAACTGACACGCAAACTCAGTATATACGCACAACGAGGTGTTAAAAAACGCGGTTTTTTTTTTGTTAATATTGTAGCCTGAGGAAAAATTAATTTTCGAGTATTCCGATCAAGCGATTTTGTGGGGTATAACCGGAGTGCAAAAAGACAGTCCTAAAATGTATAGGTGACAACAACTGATAAACGAAAACAGTGTGGAAAACAAAGAGGATTTCCATCGTAGAGAAAATTGAAAGTTTTTTTTACGTGTAGTTGTACCACTACTCCGATGAACGTATAGCTTGCGTTTTAAAGTCCGCAAAGGATGACGAGACTGCGATCAAACTTAATCAAAAAAGGTTGGCGAATTTTGAAAAGCCAGAATAGTACGTCGTCTCGCGTTCTCAAGCGTAATCCTCATCATGGAAAGTAATTCACTTAGGTCAATTCCGCCAAGAAAAACTTACGTTTCAACATTATATTCTCTCACTTTTCACCGGTATATAAACCTCACCATTTTGGCCAAATATTTTGATACAACGAATCAGAGGGTCTCAGTGAGGCAATGGCTTTTACGACTAACAGTTAAAATTTTAGCCATTTTAGGGCTAACTGCTAATGTAATCCCATTTTACGGTTAACTTTTTTTAAAGACTATCGGTTCGAGGTAAAATTTGCAAACTTTTACACTTAATGGCTATTGAATTTGGCGTTAGATCATGGCGTTTTCGCTCTGCCGCTGCTATCGCACCGGCGTTCGCTTAGAACAGGTTAGACAAACAATAAAAAAAAA